TCAGCCGCCTTTACTTTCCCTAACGTGAGTTAGGTACCCATCAGAGTTGGGTGGACTCAGGGACGGTCTACTGACTTTAACCCGGATTCGAACTCGAGACTTACGGGTTAGCAGTCCAGCTCTCTACCGCTAGACCACTCCGTCCCATATTCCAATAATAAGGACGTCATTTAAGTCAACACTAAATACGTCATTTATTTCAATACTAAAGACGTCGTAGAGCTCGACAACAATGATGCCATTGACTTTAACTTTACAGGCACCATATAGCAACAACAACAAAAAAGGCATCATCTGAACTCTAGCTTTCACAATAATAAGGTCATCGCAACAGCAATGTCCGATCAAAAAAACAAAAACAACACCCCTAGACATTAACACACGCGCGCACACACGATCGACATAAGACCTATTAGTGAACATTAAGGACTAATGAATATATATAAAATATTTTTTATCTAATAGAATGTTTTCGCGGAGTAAAAAAAAAAGCTCCCTAGACGGCAACATACAGGCTATTTTTATATCCGGGGTTAGTATTTGACTAACGTTAGTAGTAACATCAACAAGTCATATTAATATGTTAATTATTAGTTGCTAATAGCCGTATTCTACATTTTTCTATTGGTTGGAATTATCAGACCTTAGACTGGGAAAAAAACACCGACTAAAGTATTCAAATATTGCACTCAGACCAGTGTAAATAAAGAGGATTCAGCGAGGCAGAAGGTGGATCCCGTCTTCGCCATTAAAAAAACTGGTTGTGTGAAAGAAGGAACTATCCTGTCTACACCGTGAATTGGTTGCCTTTCATGGTGGTGGGACGTAGGTGGGTGGGTGTGGGAGGGGGGGGGTGTCAAGGTTGGACATTTTGGTAGGGCGTTTTCTGCATAAACACATCATGTCAACATCGTGTTTTTTTTACATGTCAGAATGTGTAAGACTGAGGGGGGGGGGGGGGTCAACAGGCAGTAGGTGCTGAACTGACATGCGGGAGCAGATGACATAAGGCTTATGACAACAGATGACATGTCGTTAAAGTCTACAGATGACATGTAGCTATAAATGGTATATGGCATGTGGTTAAAGGAAAGAGATGATGGCTAAACACCTCGGATGAAATTGCTAAAGAAAACAGATTACAAATGTCATGACGGTAAAAACTACATGACATTTGGCTAATGAAAAGATAAGATTGTTAAAGAAAACAGTACCAGTACATATTAAGGAATGACGTCCATATGGAATATGGTAAAGTGAGTGTCGTGGTGGAGTTGCGATGTTGAAAGATGGTACGTCATAAAATAACAGGTACGATGTGACGCAGGTATTTATTTAAATGTGGTATTTATAGAACACTTACTTTATCTTAAAGTTCAGTGAAATGTATTTGTTACTCAAGCTTATCGCAACACATTCATAACTGTTCGAAATACTAGAATTTGAACATATTATATGAATAGATACGTGCATGATACCGTGGTAGAACGACCAAAACATGCAAGACACTAGATAAACGACCAACACATGTATGATACTAAAACATTGACCAACACACGAATGATATAATTAGAATAATATAGACCAACATAATAAAATTGTACATGATACTAAAACAGACGTAACATAAACGATACTAGGCAATATCTATAGAGATGGAACAGGTTTTCTTCCAGATTAAGAAATCACTGACGTGTGCATGGTGTAGAGTGCCGTATTCATTGACGTGTGACCTGTGTGACTTAAGATTCTAGGTTAACGGCGTGGACCAACTTGATTCTATTTCACACCTTTGTCGTCGGGTGCCTAGACTTAAGCACAGCAACTTAATACAGCACCGTCGTGACTACCACACCCCACCCTACACGCCCGCGTCAAAGGGTGGTTAGACTTGCAGAAACGTAACAGTGGCGTGACTAACACCCCGCCCCACCACCCCGTCCCACCCTTGTCAAAGGGTGCCTTTACTTGAAGCACACAAAAAACTTTTTGGTGTGACGACCATGAACTATTTTCACAAGGGTCAAAGAAGAAAAAATTAACTAGCCTGTGAAGTGGTTAATGTAAACAGTCAGAAAAGAATAACTATGAAAGTGTCGCATTAGGGGTAGAAAGGTAAAGGGCCTACAGATTTCGAAAGAAAGGGGTGTAGAGGGGGTAAATAGTATCTTTTTATCTTATTTACTAGTAGAAAATAAACGTTACGTTCTTTTTTTTTTAAGTATCGCTCCCTACGCAACTTTGGGATAATACTGTTTACTAACCATGCTAATTTAATCATCCTTTACAATGCATGCTTTGCGTGTAGGTGTTGACACATCGAGACGTTCGGCGTCATCGTGTGTTGTTTAAATAAAGGCTTATCTTGAGTAGATTACGTTCTCTACTGGCTTGGACTGGGAAGTAATAAAATGACTAAATTATAAAATCTGCAACCGTGGCTAAAACACAGCTTAGGTTGTAAATAAATTAATTTTTATTCCTTTGCTACAGCTGCAGGCATTGAATATTTTTTATTTCACACGTAGAAGAGTCATCACACAATGTAGCAGTATTATTTTTAGAACACAGCACATCATGTGACATTTACGCCGGCCGAATGTTTTCATTTTGTGATTAATTTCCGTGACGTCATGCGGCTAAAAATAAGCATAGTCGGCAGAGAAAACAGCCCTAGAAAACACGACCGATTTTATTGGTCCTGCATGTTTTGTTAGAACTAGATTCTAGTTCTTGTTCTTTTTTTTCCTCCTGACCTTTCAAAAATGCCACCAAACAGAAGCTGAAATGAACAACAGCGAACATCACACCAACCAGCTGAACTAAGGGCGTACACTGATTTACAATAAATATTTCAGTTGCGTTTTAAATGGAAAGTATTAGAATACAAGCCAAACACAAAAGGGCAAATATTAACTTTTCTAAGAAAAAATAAAATTGACCAAAATCTAAATATATCTTTAGAGTCTATACTCTAAAACAACGCTCTTTGAAACCCCTACCTCTGAAATTAATATCCATTTTAGTAACAAAATACATTCTGATAAATTCTAAATTCAGATTTCATAAAAACATGCTTTTTTTTTAAAAAAAAAAAAGGGGGGGGGGGGGGATTATTCTAATTAATTAAGTAGACTTACACTATTCATATTACAAAGCTTTTTATAGTAATCCAATACCTAGATCTAGAATTGAATTCAAGGTCTGACATTTAAAATTTTAAATCATAGTGTTATCTTGAAATAAGCATAATCTAGCATCGATTTAAGTTCGTTTACATACAAAAAAAAAAAAAAAAACAGCATTTAGACCAAGAATCTATAGATTTTTCCATCATTATGAAACTTCAAACCATAGGAAAATGGGAACCGGTCTCAGCTAGATCTAGAAAATCTAGTTAAACCTTTAAACAAATGTTTCAAAAGCGTTTTCTCAAGAATTGATATATTTTCAGCAGAAGTAGTTTGCGTCATATTGTTTACGTTATTTTTTGATCAGGGTTGAATACATTCACGCGACCATGCGACGTCAACGGTATGTCTCGTGTTTACGAAGTTGAGACGGTACACTATTGCAAAACATTTCCTTAGAGGACAAGACTTCCCTTTGTCACTACACTGTTTACTTACTTGCCGGAAATGGTCGGCACGCGCTGCTATATTTATACAACACGCAAGCATGAGTTGTGCGACACGCTAGGTGACCTAGATTAAATGTAACGCACGAAGTTGATGTGATTGTTCTTGTGATTACATTGACAGCGGTGTGTGTGACCGTTACATTGATAGGCCTAGCTGTCCCAAAGACAATGGGGGAGGGGGGGGGGGAGAGGGGAGGGACAGTTATATTGGTAGCTGTCCCAAAGACGTGGTGTGTATGTGTGTTATGTTGGAAGCTATTATACAGTTATGTGTGTGTTTGTCAGTTATAATACACACAATAGCAACATTCGCAGGGAAAGATATATCGCTGGTGTATATTGTTATAGAAACACCAACAGGACAATTCAGAATTAAAAGGTTTTGTTTCTTCTACTACGCTAACTTTTCTTCTTCCCCCCCCCCCCCCCCCCACTCCCGGTTCGTAAAGTTAGTATCGTCTACAAAGATACTTAAAGAATTAATGTGTCGTTTTCACAATACCCGGTCTAGTTTCTATTGATGAACGTCTTATGGAAAAGTACCCCAGCAACTCATGTAAGATAAACGTACCACGCATGAGCCGCCTTAAAGATCACCAGCCTCCCTTGTACGTCACATGGAGCCGCCTTTACCTCGTCTACGGCGCCGCACTGACCGTGAAGGCTACTTCAGGGCCGGATGCAGTAGGCGGGCGGTGGAGGGAGCGGGAGGGGGGTGCTGATGTCAATTTTATAAACGTGCAATATTTTCTATTTTAAAACTGATTTGCAGTGACGTAAATCAATACCAGTTTTAGTCACTGATCCACCACAAACTATCGCTAGATAACGTCACATTAATTTATAACCGTAGACCCATGAACTAACTAATAATAAAACAGATCATAGAGGTACACTGAACAGATTATACAATCTTCTGGATTATTGAAGGTTGTGTTGTCAGGGTCGGGATTATGGGTAGGGTTAAACTAGTCCTATTGGTGTCTATTATAATTACCACCTTAATCGTAACACCAGCCATACACCGAGTGGTTCCCGCTTGGTTAGGATGATGTTTAAGGTCATGTTTAGGGTCAGCGATCAGGTTAGAATCAGTATCAAGGGGCCTACCGGGTTAATATTTAAGTCAGGGATTAAATCAGGATTAGGTATAATGTCAGGGTTAGTAGGTGATACTTAGGTGTCAATGTTAGTTTAAATACCAGGACTTGGGTTTAGTCAAAGTTAGGGTCATGGCCAGTGTAGGGATACTAGCAAAAACTTAGCTTCGATTCTACCTGTAGCGAGTGTTGGACTTAGACCCAGAGCGAAAACTACCTACTTGTGTTATATTAAGTGTTTAGCAAGAAAGTTTACTTACATGGGGCATCAGTACAATCCTGGTCCTTGAACTTGTCGTTATAGTCCACATCCTCCCCATCGTCATTGGCCACCAGCTGGCGAATGGAAGCCAGGTCACGGAACCTCCCACCCGAGAAGTCATGTTCATAGCTCGTCTCCCCGTGGGTGGTTTCGAACACGCCGATGTCATCACACAGACCCGAGTCCTTGCTGCCAGTTGGGGAACCCCTGCGTTTTTCGCTAGGGCTGGTCACCGAGGGAGACGATGGTGACACATCGAGCTCGTCGTCGTCGCTGATTGAGTCGAAAACGTGGGTCAAAGAGCTGGTCACGGCCCGGTTGATGGTCCAGTTCTCGTAGTCCAATTTTTTAGTCCGGAGTTTTGGATCGTCTGCAGATTCCATTTCAGCAGAGGTGAGAATGTTGTCCAGCGTGTAGACGGCTTGTTTGATGTCGAAATCGGACGTGAAGCTTTGCTTGCGCGTGAATTCTGTTAACGTTTCCGTGCTAGCGTTGCTGTCTAGACGCTGGTACTCGTGCTCGGCGATTTCCGCGCGATCGACAACAACATTGACACTGTTTTGACTCTGTCCTCGGGGCGGGGGCATGGGCGGAGTTTTCGCGGGCTTCCACTCCGCCGCCGGTGACTCATACTGTGGTTTTTCTGTGTTGTTTTGGTGCGCGTTCCCCAAAACGAGGCTGGGTCTGACGTTTTCGGCAAGTTTTCCGATGAAAGCCGTTGTTGTGTTACCTTTTTTGTTTGGAATTGGACTGAATGACCTCATTTCTGAGGGACCTCTTGGTGTGTCGTCGGTGTTCGAGTTGTTTTTGTTTATTCCTTGAGCGTGACGTAACGCTGATGGGGACGCTATGTTTGCATCAACCCCCTGTCGAGAGTTAACATCCGTGATGGGCGAAGTGTTGTAGAAATCCGAATTACATTTCTTTGACCGCTCCAGATTTTTCTTCGCGTCGTGAGGAAGCGAGGCCGACGCTTGAAGTAAAGTTTTCCCGTGAACTAAACTCTCCGTCTGTTGTGTGTCGTCTGGTGTTCTGGTGTTATCAACGGGACAGTTCGGCGGTGGCGGTGCGGCACTGACGTCACTGCCACCTGAACAATGCGGGCTGTCGATCTGAACGGCGAACGATTGGAAATGTCGTGCTGGGGTTGGTCCTGGGTCTGTGGGGGTCGGGGGGAGACTTCTACCGCTGCCGGGGCGGGGTGGCTTTTTGGCAACAGGCGGGGGAACGGGCGACTTTTTTATGCTGACTTTTGAAAAGTGATCTCTGTCGAGATCTTTTTCAACACGAGGATCTTTATCCTGAAGAACTGTATCGACACGATGATCTTTGTCTTGAAGATCTTTATTGACACAATGATCTTTGTCCTGAAGATCTTTATTAACACAATGATCTGTGCCTTGATGGTCAACGCGTTGAGTATCGACAATAATAACTGAGCTCATCGGTCTGTTTGGTTTGGGTGAGGGCACGGGCGCTTTCTGAGGGTCGGACTTCCGCTTTGGTTGGGGGTCAGGTGACGAACTGCCCGTGTCCAGGTTCCAACTCCGTCTGGTCACTTCGATGACGGAAACGTTTTCACGACTGAATGACGTCTGCGGGCCCGCTGAACCATCCGTCATGCTATTTTTAGCCCGGTCCGGTTTGTCGCAGTTGACGTTACTCATCAAGGTCGCGTGACGGAGCGGATTTTCACTGGCCGGCCCTTTGCTATTTTTGTTTCCGGGGTCATCCTCCAGGACGAGTCCGAACCCCTCCGTCATCTTCAAGAAGTGGTAGTTCCTCTGTAGGACGGGACTGTGGGTCAGCGCCTCGTTGTGTCGGGGTACGTCACCGGGGTGTATGTTTTTGTTCGTCACCGCCATGAAATTGTCCTTTGTCCTATTGACCCTTGTCCCCAGGTCATCCTCCCCTGACCGGTGCGTAGCTGCCTTTTTGCCTTTTAACATTTCGTCCGGCTCTGAAGTTGACCTGTTGATTAATTTACCCCGAAAGCAAAAATCGCTTTGTTTATCAACAGGAGAACTTTCTTCACCGACGTTGACATTATCTATACTAGCCGATATCCTATTCTGCGCTGCTAAATCGCGATCTTTTCTCTCAGAAAACGAACGTCTTTCGGAAACAGAAATTCTTGATAAGAATTTCGGAGAGTTTATCTCACTTATGCACTTACCTAAAGTGTCCGTGTTATTTAAAGAAGACGCAGATAAATCTGCAACTGAAGTTAACTCACTAGGTTTATCCAAATATGTCAACACACACAAACAGTTACTCTCTAATCCAGCAGAAAATTCGTTCACAACACGACCGCATCGATCACACTTTTTATCTTCTAGCTTGGTCGTGTTTTGGTCTAGATCTCCGCTATCTCGCTCAGCCAAGCTCGAATCACATTCCGATTCAAGAACTGTCAACACACTGCCTAGAAACCGTTTCTCAAATTCTGCTCTGCGCAGCTCTTCGCGTAACTGAACAATCTTATCTTGTAAACCTGCTAGACTTTCACGCACAGCCGTCGTCACATACACATCGCCTGCGGCGGGCCATTCGTCAACCCCTCTGCTCAGCTCCGCAACACAGTCCAACACAGGTGGTGTATCGTCAGGGTAGTCGCGTCGCCACTCAAGCAAGAACAGCTCTCGCAGACGACACACTTTAGCGGCTTTCATTATCTCTGAAACGGTTAAATTACATCACGCATAACAGTTCAAAGAACGATAACTTAAAAACGTAGAAAAATCACACACGAACTGCAGAGTTACTGCGTGAGCTAGCAGCAGTACTGAACGCGTTCATTAAATCGTATTGTTTTTTTCTCTCTCTGCCTGCGCGCACCTGTTTGAGATGCGCAATCAAGTGCCGGGCTCGCTCAACACAGAATGTTATGTTAATTTGTGGGCGGGCTTAAAGGCTGTGTTGTCTACATTCCTGTCTTGCGCGATGGCTATCTTTTGTTTCAGTAGCAGTATAAAAACTTGGGGATAGTCAGTACCTCGTCGTAATCGTGTCCGAATCCGTCTTCAAATTTTTGACAACATCCGTGTAGGCTTTAAACGGAAAAGAGAAATGTAGGCGGTAACCGAAATCAAAAACTTTAAGGATAGTTCCAGGTTATTTAACATATATTTAGGAGTACGGCTTAATAACCTTAATAAGTGTAGCATAAAACATGTTTAGTTAGAACTATGCAGCCCCCTTTTCCAAGAAATTCGCGGTTCTGTCCCACCCCCCTCCCCCAACCCCACGAGAACCTAGGTCCATTGTTTATGAACATTGATATTGGGTTGTAAACACATCGTGATACTGGGATTCTACTGTTGTTTACATACTGGGATAAAAACACATAATTATGGTGAGATTATGATGTTGTTTACATACTGGGATATAAGCACTTCACGATACTGGGATTGTGCTGTTGCTTACATACTATAGTGTAAACACATTAAGATACCGGGATTCTACTGTTTACATACTGGGATATTATTTACACATCATGATACTGGGATTGTGCTTTTGTCGGCTGTTTGCGAGATTACCTGTTGTTATTTTCACCTGACCCGACCCTTTGCGATTAGCCGAACCCATGTATTTGCATTTCTGATCAAGTTTAGCAACTAACGGCCTTATGGCTGTTTTGGGTTAAAGTTAGCACTAGCTTTCTGTTTATCGCGTTAGTTGTATGCTTGAGGCTCATGTTGAAACATCGTTACCGTAGATACAAGCTGTAAGAATACTCCAAAATTAGCCGACCAATAGATGTAGTAACTAAAAAATAATAATTAAATAGCTGTTTTTTTTTTTTTAAATCAACGATGTGACTGAATCGAAGTTTTGAAGTAGACCGGTTACGAATTTTTTTTAGTAAAAACCCTTGTGTTATCATTATGAGTCACCAACTGACTGGTTCACTTGTATTATTAATTTAAAAAAAAATCTGGTTCATTTGAGAGTTGTATTATCACGTGACAGTGTCACAGTGACATGTGGCGAGAGGTCATGCAAGAAAATGGTATGTGTGTGTGTTGGTGTGTATGTATATAGTTGTGTATATATGTGTGTATATGGTTGTGTGTGTTTGTATGTGTATGTATGTATGTGTATATGTATGTGTATGTATATTTCTGTGCTTGGAGGCCGTAAGTCTATTTGTGTGTATGTATATATTTGTATGTATATATGTGTATGTATCTGTGTGTTTGCAGGTATGTATGTATGTATATGTATGTGTGTATTTATGTGTATGTATGTGTGTATATGCATGTATTTGTGTGTACATATGTGTGTATTTGTGTGTACATATGTGTGTATAGGTATGTATTTGTGTGTATATATGTGTGTTTGTGTAGGAGGTATGCACAGGTGTGTGTGTTGCTCACCTCCTGCCCCTTACATGTCACAGTGACCTCAGGTGTGAGCCTAGAACACCTGACTACCACCCAGACATTACCAGGTCAGTGCTAGACACGGATGTCACCTTAACCTGTACGACCTACGTCCTATTCTAGGAAATGGGAGGGACTCTCTTAAGGCGAGGTGAGACGGTTATTTTTTTTTTTAAAACCTCTCGTCAGATCGAAACTGATAGAAGGGGGGGGGGTGTATAAAATAAATGAATACGTGGGAGGAAGGCTGTTCGTGTAGATATACTTGATAAGAAAAACACATACGTCTCACCGAGCAGGTTTTAAAGACAGGAGAGGTGTGTCAATAGGTCTAGAGACCCATCCCTCTGTGTACCCTATTGTGACTTAACATTTTATTATGTGGGTATTTTTTTTTGTTCTCAGCTCAGCGCACTGGTGCGCACATTTAAAAACTGAAACCTGTTAAAAAGAAATGTTTTTAAATTGCAGATTTTGACAACGAATGGTTAATCTTGACAACAAAGGCTTGCCTAAGGCCTATAACTTCGGCCGTTGTAAACCTTTTCTGACACACCATAGGCGGATCTAGAATGGGGAATAGAGCAAGGGTGCGGGGGTGGGGGGGGGGGGCGCTCCAAAATTTTGGAATTTTGTAGCACATCATAAAACGTACAGTATCGGCGGTGTCGGGTCGGTAACGCTTGTGGTTACTAGACTGAAATGTCCCGAGTTCGAACCCCTGGGCAGGTGAGGCTAGATAGCTGGGGACAGCAACTCATCTATGAGAGAAAAACTCCAAAATTAAACAACTGCTGTGTGTATCACACAGTGTGTATCTTCTAATGGTAGCCACCCCCCCCCCCTTTTATTCTAATCAAGCCTTCTGTCCCTCTTAACGTTTATAACAGGGGTCTCCAAACTACGGCTCGCGGGCCGTATGCGACCCGCGAAGTCCTCGTATCCGGCCCGCTGAGATCTTTTTGTCCAAGGAAAAATCGTTTGTTGGTGATGGCTGAGGAACTTTGCCCAGAAAAATCAAAGACATGCCTGGAGGAAACTGGCCCCCGAACTGAAATTTGATAGTTAATGCGGCCCTCGGACTGAAGAGTTTGGAGACCCCTGTTTTATAACATGACGTTAATAATTTGATATCCTTTGTTCCAGTCTTTTTGTTCAACATTTTTATATGGAGATAAAACCCGGTAGTTGGGAGATGACAATCAGTACAACAGAAGAGGTGGGGAGGGGGGGGGGTAGAATTTCAGAGGTGGGGGTGGGGTTTTTAGAATGCCAGTGTTGGGGGGGGGGGGGTTAGAATTTCAGAGGTGGGGGTTTTAGAATGTCAAAGTGGGGGGGGGGGTAGAATATCTGTCACGGGAGGGGGTTACATCAATAGATTTGGCGGAGTCCGGTCATACAATACCTCTTTGGTGGAGAGAGGGGAGGGGGGTAGACCGTGGAGTCGGAGTCCTATCTTTCGTTGTATCTATTCCTGCTATCCCTGTAGGGCACGAAAACACATCGAATGCAGGGGCGGATTAAGGAATAGGCTGCTGGGGTTAGACAGTGACGGATAAAGATTTAGGCTGATCGGGTTAGATAAGTAGCTATTTGAGGACGGATGGCGCGGCCGAATTGTACGCCGACCCTGGAATTATGGGGGGGGGGGTGTAGAAAGAGGAAGTAACTTTTTTTTATATAAAAAGTTCTTTCCGAGTTGCAATACTGTATAATTCGCAGTCAAAATTAAGAAAATAGATTGTTTCTTGGCTTTACAGACTGACTAAACATTTGTCTACATCGATTGCATGGCAACAAAAAAAAAAAAAAAACAACTCAGGGACAGAGAGTGGTAAGAAGCAAATATGAATTGGGAGGGGGGGGGGAGGCTAAAAATTAATGGTTCGCCCCGGACACTGGAAAAGGTCGCTACTCCTCTGGGCCGTGTTTATTGGTACTATAATTGGCACTTCAGAATGTTAGTGCCCCTTAAAAAAATATCCCTCCCCTCCCAAAAAAAACCCCCAATAAACAATAAATAAATAAATGAAAAAGGTAACGAGACATTCTCTCGGCTCAATATTTCTACTTCTCTATTTAATAAAGATACACTATCCAGTAGATCTATGTCTTGTTTCGCTGTTCTTCTGATTATACTTTTTACTTATCTTGATATTATATACCAAAATAAACCCGCTTATGGCATTTTCTGATGCGTCCCCTCCCCCCTCTCACACATGCTAATGGTTAATACAACCCTGGCTAGCGGACTCCATTTTACAGAGCCCAAAAACTGTCTGTTTACTCACCTTCATAGACAAACTGTTTCCATCAAGATGACTGCCTTTTGTTTATAGACCCGTTTTACCTAGGAAAAGTGTTTTAAAAAGAACAATATTTCAATGACCCTTGACGATTTTTAGAGGCTATAAATAACTAATAACTTTACAGGTATTTCAAATATTGCGATCGTACTTTATAAATTGTCTAATGGTGGGGGGGGGGGGTTAACTTTTAGCCAGCTGAAGATGTTGCTTACGTATATCGTAATAACAATTAGACCTACCAGATAAAATTAATTTACAACAATACCGGTCGTCAGTGAGATTTTTGCCCTGAAGAGATGCCTGAGAGAAACTCTGGTCGCAACATTTTCCCCACGACACATTTCCTGAGTCTATTCTCAAAGAAAACCATACATATAGCTTCAAGTGTATCAACGGTTTCCGTAGTGTAGTGGTCATCACACGCGGAAGGTCCTGGGTTCAAGCCCCAGCGGAAACAAGTTTTTTTTTTACCATATTATGAACATGAATTTTCATTAACCCAAACATTCACAATTTTCTTTCTAACATCGTATCCTAGATTCGTACAGTCAAACATCATTCTCTTAGTAGGTTTACATAACAACAATTACTGGATACTTTTCAACGTGATTTAGCACGGTCCTATAAGTCCTCTTAGACACTAACCCGGTCGTTAATCAGCTGAAAGTTAACTCGGAGTGTTAAGCATCTATTAACTTAATGAACATACATGCCTGGATTCGATCCACCACACAAGAGAACAATACCAACAGGTTAGACCTGAGGTTTAAAGAAAACAACAACACAAACACTGCTGTGTGTCTTAGTTGCCAAGATGGCGGCTGTGAAACAAGCAGATGTAGTTGGAGTACCATGTAACTTTAAGAGGTGTGTGTTGGTTTTTGCTTGTGTGTGTGGGGGGTAGTTGATTGTGTGGTGGCAGATGAATGTTACGGTTAGCGCTGTTAGTTAACTGTGTGACATCAGATTATGGTTAGGGTTAGCGCTGTGTCAAAGACTAAGATATCAATGTAATAACTAATATTTGTGTATGTTAAATTTATGTATGTATGTATTTGTGTGTGTGTGTTTTTTTTTGGGGGGGGGGGGGGTGTTTAAAACGACATCACGT